CACCCACGCTTCACACCCATATAAGAGCGTTGGTAAAACTACACTCTCATACATTCCCCTCTTTGCCTCCAAGGACAAAGTTCTTTGTCTCCACAGACTCCTAAGTGCACACTCACCCTTTTCCCCTCATCAATTCTTTGATTCACCTCATCTTTCATAGACCATCCGCTGACACGTCCACTCCCAAATATCTGAATACATTCACCTCCTCCATACTCTCTCCCTCCAATCTGATATCCAATCTTTCATCACCTAATCTTTTTATCTCCTAACCTTTATATATATATATATATATATATATATATATATATATATATATAAATATATATATATATATATATATAAACACCCCCAGCCGTCTCCCAGCTCTCCCTGGGAGTGCAGGCAATGTACCTCCCACCTTCAGGTCCCGGTGTCCCTGAATAATTTTGTTACCTTGCTCACACTACAACAGCACGTCAACCATAAAATTAATTTGTCTACACTGATCACAGACTGGGACGCGGGGGCGTTGACCCCCGGAACTCTCTCCAGGTGAACTCCAGGTAAACACTCCAATTTAACACTGACACAAGACTGCTGGATGCCAAAGACCCCAGCACTGAAGATCTCCTTTAGCCACCTCTGAGACCTCACTTTCAAAGATCACACCAGTGTCATCACACCTGTTAGAAAAATAGTAGAATAGATAATAAGAACCATAAAAACAAGGGATGCCAAGGCAATGATCCTCTTTAAGCTGCTGGTTCTCTCTAGGCAGAAAAACTGCTTTACACTAACGGCTTCTTTCAAGGGCTAACAAAGGTTGTGTAGAAGGGACCACAACATAATACAGGATGAATGAAGAGGTAATGTGTTTGTCCAGGTTGTGTAGAAGGGACCACAACATAATACAGGATGAATGAAGAGGTAATGTGTTTGTCCAGGTTGTGTAGAAAGGACCACAACATAAGAAGGGATGACTGGCTTGTTGGTCCTGTGGTGCAGGTACTTACATTAATTATATAGAGCGTGCGGCAGTTTAAAGAGGGGGCATAAATAACGTGCTAAAAATATCTAATCAAGGCAGAATCTGGCATTCAAAGAGTATGTTACAATTTATTCGGAGTATGTCACACTCCCATATAGGCTGCCTCCCAACCAGCAAACCGGGCGCTAAGGGTTTAACGATTACTAGGGCACTAGTCGTTAAATCAGTACCTTGGTTCACTGTCCAATCACAGGCGAGCCCGTCAAATGCTAAAACAATATGGTTCATTTCAGGTCAGCATTTGCCAGACTTGCCTACCTGCTGGTTGAGTAAGGTGTTCTCTCTCTGGGTTTTGCTTTTGCCATCTGTCACTGTCAGGTACACTAATTATTATTCCATCTGTACATGGTGTACTTATTTGTATATAGTGAGTAAAGGTAAAATATACATTATAGTCTATCTGCTGAGTTGGTTTTGCTCCAAAACCCATTACAACCAGGTCACACGCCATTCATAACCTGTTGGTCAGCAATAGAATCAAGTTGGACAAATTTAGATTTTAATAAGGGTAATGTTACTGAAAAGAGAACCTTGGGTAGCTTTAAAAATAGAGAAGAAGAGAAGAAGAAAACTGGATAAAGATGCTCCCTCTACGGAAGACGGCAAAAAATAATTTTAGCTCCTCAAGAACGCTAGATTATCTGACACACGGAAGGAAGCACTGACCAGGGAAGTGGAAAGTATCGAACTTGAGTTAAAGTACTCTTACAGTACCCAGGAGACAGGAGCTAAAAGCGATTAGTGAAATTGAAAGAAAATCAAAATATTTATCTTAATATGCCAAAAACAAGGCAAATAACACATCTAGTATCAGGCCCCTCCTCAGACAAGATGAGACTTACACAGATGACAACAAAGAAATGAGTGAGATACTGAAATCCCAATACGACTCTGCTTAGCGAGCCACTAATCAGTCTAAAGATCGACAATCCTGATGATTTTTTCATGAATGAGCCTTAAAACTCCATCAATGTATGCCAGATTTCCACCATTACCCTAACTCCAATAGACTTTGAGGAAGCCATTGACAACATGCCCATGCACTCAGCCCCAGGCCCAGACTCGTGGAACTCTGTGTTCATTAAGAACTGCAAGAAACCCCTTCCGCGTGCCTGGGTTAAATTCCAGTCAAGCCCCACTCCACAAAGGTGGCAGCAAAGCATTAGCTAAGAACTATAGACCAATAGCTCTAACGTCCATCATAAAAATCTTCGAAAGAGTGCTCAGCACGACTGCAAACCACTTTGATTCCCAAAACCTGCACAATCCAGGGTAACGTGGGTTCAGAGCAGGTCGCTCTTGCCTCTCGCGATTACTGCGTCACTATGATATGGTCTTGCATGCACTGGAAGAAAAACAGAATGCAGATGTAATATATATACAGACTTTGCAAAAGTCTTTGACAAATGTGATCATGGGGAGATGGATCTTCAACTTTCTAGCCAATCGAACACAACAGAGTTAAATCAGAAACTGCCATAGTGTAAAGCTCTGTTCCATAAGTCACAGTACTCGTCCCCATCCTGTTCCTCATCCTCATATCAGACACAGACAGATGTAATCCATAGCACCGTGTCATCCTTTGCAGACGATATTAGGATCTGCATGAGACTGTCATCAATTAAGGACGCGGTTAACCTCCAAGAAGATATAAACAAAGTTTTCGAATGGGCAACGGAAAACAATATGATGTTCAATGAAGACAAATTCCAACTACTCCGTTATGGAAAACTGGAGGAGATAATAAACTAGAACTGAGTATACTACAAACTCTGATCATACAGTTGAGCGGAAAAATAATGTGAGGGACCTGGGAGTGGTAATGTCTAAGGATCTCACTTTCAAGGATCACAACAGCGCCACGATCACAACTGCAAAGAAAATGATAGGATGGATAATGAAAACGTTGAAAACAAGAGATGTCAAGCCAATGATAATCCTTTTCAAATCACTTGTTCTCTCTAGGCTGGAATATTGCTGTACATTAACATCTCTGTTCAAAACAGGTGAAATTGCAGATCTAGAGAGTGTACAGAGAGCCTTCACTGCACATATAAGTTCTATCAAACACCTCAACTACTGGGAAAGCTTGGAAGCACCTGACTTGTACTCGCTGGAACGCAGGCGAGTTATATCAAAACCTACATCTGGAAAATCCTAGAAGGAATGGTCCCGAATCTATACACAGAAATCACTCCCTACGAACGTAAAAGACGGGCAGGCGATGCAAAATGCCCCCAATGAAAAGTAGGGGCGCCAATGGTACACTAAGAGAAAACACCATAAGTGTCCGGGGCCCAAGACTGTTCAACAGCCTCCCACCATGCATAAGGGGAATTACTAATAGGCCCCTGGCTGCCTTCAAGAGGGAGCTGGGCAGATACTTCAAGTCGGTGCCGGATCAGCCGGGCTGTGGTTCGTACGCTGGACTACGTGCGGCCAGCAGTAACAGCCTGGTTGATCAGGCCCTGATCCACCGGAAGGCCTGGTTGTTGACCTGGCCACGGGAGCGTTGATCCCCGGAATACCCTCCAGGTAGGTAGGCAAGTACATGAATGGGTGTGAGTTAGACCTGGCTAACATGAGGGAGGAGGCACATGTTAGCCAGGTATTTGTGCATCCAGTGATAACTGAGGATCTACAGAGAAACCGATCCGTAGATCCCGTTGCTATAGGACTTTTAAAATCCTAGAGAGAGAGAGAGAGCTGAGGTTAATATTAAAGTAAGTACTACAACGTCTAAAGTGATTGTTTTAATTATTACTCCGGAGGGTCAGTAATGATAACCCACAAAATCAGGTCATCCAGGACTGTGTCTTATTTTCACTGGTCCTTTAATCGTCTCCCTCAGGATGCTACCCTCACCTACTTACTGCTGGGCGAACTGGGGAAACTGGTGTAAGGAAACTTGACCATCGCTTCTAAATCGTGCCGGGGATCGAACCCTGATCCCTCAGCGTGCGAACTGAGACAGCTTCTAACAGAACCAAGAGCCGCGAACACATCGAAGGAGTCATAATATGCGGAGTTGACAGCACTGAAAACTAACATTTTTAAATATACGGAAGGAATTACAGGAAAATATGTCACAACTTAAAACTGTTGACAACACTGAAGTTTAAGTTGACAATACTAGTGGCTGGGAGAAGGTCATTAAGGCCGCACTTAGTCGTCAGTAACAAGAAGTTAATCATTATAAATGTTTGTACGATAATATACATACCTTTTATTGTATATACTCTTTCACAGGAGCTGATGTCACAAGAGTACGAACTGACAGTGTTAAAGGTGAAAATAACACAAAGTCGTAAAAATATAGAACTAAGTGACATCATAACATTCAGTGTTGTAAGGGTCACAGAGTGTGACTTAAGAACGTTAACTGACTGACAACAGTTGGCAAGCTTTGAATTGTCTAAAAGTGTGTTGTAAGTGCAACAAACAGCGAGGGTGACAGCCACGAATTAAAAAAGAACATCAAAAGCTGATTGCGCTGAGAATAAGAAAGAGCGCAGCTGTGGACAGTGTTGGCACGGCAGCAGTTGGCAACGTTGGAAGAGCAGCGGTGTGGGTTGACAGCAACAGGAAGGTAGATCATGTGTAGCAGTGTGAGGGGCAGTGTGTGAGACAGGCAGTACACAGTGACCTTAGGGAGAGTACTGCCCGCGCCATACACCGCCTCCACACTAATAAGAAACATGCATGAAGCCTCTCTGTACATCACCAAGGACACAATGGTGAAACATCTGACATCCCCGCTGCTCCGCTCCCACCAGCCACAACCCAGGTTCCCACAAGGTATTAACCCAGTACACACCACAGGTACATGTGTCGCCTCAGTTACTGTTGGGGCCCCTCCCAGCACACACCTGGCTGGCATCTCCCCGTACACAAACGTACAATACACAGTCCTTGAGAGACAGAAATACACAAAATGGAAGAAGGCAAGAAGAATGGCAGTCCAACTCACATATTCTCTTCTTCCACGAATATCCACACCTACACACGGTTAATGTTCTTTCCGTTTCATATCCAGATTCGCACATGTCACATCCTAACACCACAGTCTTGCCACTAACTGTAGGAGTGCACAATTTCGGTCGTATTCTCAATTTGGTCCCTCGATCACGAAACATATTCACCCTATGACTGTAGCAGCAACACTAAAGTCTTTAGGCAGGGGCCCCTCAATGGCATCCAGAGCGGTTGCCAACACTCACCACATACATACCCAGGACGCTTGACCATGAATATATGACGTCCCTAGCTAGAGTTCCGTATTTATTTAAATTCTGTTTTATAAACAACTTCCTCCAAGAGATCACCGTGTGTAACACAACCCAAAGTAAGAGCAACTTAATTAATTAGGTACACTGTGAGATAGAGAATTAAGAGTGGCATCAGTGATCTCGGGGTGGAATGAGAAGCTGGATGTCCAGGTTAACATTTACCATACAAACGTAAAACTTGAATTGTGCACGTTTAGAGAGAGACCTTTGTATTTCACAGCTACGTAGACTAAGTTCCTCATTTATTATAATATATGGCGCAGATACGCAAGAAGAGAGGACTACACGAGAGAAAAGGTAAGTAAAGATACCCTTAGAAGCTCGGGGCAGCGATCACGTGAGAGAGGTGGGCAGTGAGCGAGCAAGCAGGAGAGAGCGAGAGACCGAGAGAGCGAGAGACAGAGAGAGAGAGATAGCGAGAGAGAGAGAGAGAGAGCGAGAGAGAGAGAGAGAGAGAGAGAGAGAGAGAGAGAGAGAGAGAGAGAGAGAGAGAGAGAGAGAGAGAGAGAGAGAGAGACAGAGAGAGAGAGAGCTGAGGATACATAGTCCTCACTGGGCCAGGACTAAGGTTAGGAAGCCACCGTGTATCACTATACAGGGCTACAACACAAACCTCACAGTGGTAACTCACATTTCCTCGACCACAGAGACGTCGATAATAACATATGGAACGACAACAACGGTTCCTCCAACTGCATGATGAGGGGTAGGAGGGTGGTGTTGGGTGGGAGGGAGGGATGGGGGAGATAAGTTGGGGAGGGAGAGAGAGGAAAGGCAGACACAGGAATGGCTGAGAGAAAATATTATCCCTTGAAAATCGTTCTCATGCTTTTTTTTATATAAAGCTTGTTGAAGGGTCAGCTGTTTTTGTCTGCAGGAAAGATTGCATTGTAACATAGTAGGCGACGCTTTATTGGGTCTACTTGGTGCAGCAAGATGCAACATGCATCACACTGCGCTGCATAACCAACGTTTTTTATAATCTATGTCAACAGTATCACATTTCTCTGAACCAATTGTAAACCATTCTTTCTAGAGGTAAAATTTATCATTTATGAGATTATTGCCTAACCTCGGATGTAACTCTTAACTTCACTTAACCTCAAAGAAACCAGTGACTGCACACTCCGCCTCAGGCTCAGACTCGTGCAACTTGATATTCATTAAGAATTGCAAGAAAACATTACCTCATGTCTTAAAAATTCTATGGAGGAGATCTGGACACGGAGTCATCCCAGTGATACTGCACCAACCATAACTGTGCAAGTAAATCACTTACATAAAAAGCCTATATTAATATTTATTTTTAAAGAAGTGGACCGGTAAGCCAGTGGAAGGCCTCGGTCAGATGACCAAAAGCTCCAGTGGTGGGTCCAGTTCCCCGAATTAAGCCTGAATGCCTTCCACATCCCCCCCCCAGGCGCTGTATAATCCTCCGGGTTTAGCGCTTCCCCCTTGATTATAATAATAATAATCCAGTGGCGGGTCATCATATGACTAAAACCCGCGTCAGGAAAGACTTCTTCCTATAGACTGACAGTGCTAAAGTCCCACCCACATTATCAACATATTAAAGTGTTTAAAGATGCAAGACTGCCAATCATATTGCACAGCAGCAGCTGTATAATGTATGGGTTCAGTAAAGCTCACTCCCACCTCTCACAAGTGATCAACAATTTCACTACAAAACCAGCAAATACAGATGTAATGTAGATTGACTTTGTAAAAGTCTTTGACAAGTGCAACCATGGAGTAACTGCGCACAAGTGCAACCATGGAGTAACTGCGCACAAGTGCAACCATGGAGTAACTGTGCACAAGTGCAACCATGGAGTAACTGCGCACAAGTGCAACCATGGAGTAACTGCGCACAAATGCAACCATGGAGTAACTGCGCACAAGTGTGTTCGGAGGAAATACTGCAAATGTGGGCAGATGGACAGTGATTGTTGCAGCATACTTTACCTGGGTAAACTTAAGTGCACATGGAGTATTGCAGCAAGTCATACCGGGTAAACTTGTGCAGGAGGTGCACATGAGTACTTCCGGTAAACTTAGTGCAAATGGGTTTGCCAGGCAACATGACGTTACGCGAAGTAAACTTAGTGCAGAGTGGTTGCACCGATACATGACATCTTACCGGAGTAAACTTAGTGCAGGAGGTATGCGCAAACTTACCGGGTAAACTTGTGCAGGAAGGTTGCAGACCATTGATTAACGGTACACTAAGTGCACGGAGTAGGCCTTGCAGCATACTTACCGGGTAAACTAGTGCACAGGAGTACTGGCAGCATACTTTAACCGGGTAAACTCCATAGTGCAGGCAGGGTATGCAGCAATTTACCAGGGTAACTTAGTGCAGCAGGGTACTGCGCACTAATGAACCAGGGTAAACATAGTGCAGAGGGTTGCGCATACTTTACCAGGGTAAACTAGTGCAGGAGGTTACAGCATACAATGTACCGGGTAAACTAAGTGCATGGAGGTAACGAGCAATCATTACCGGGTAACTTAGTGCAGGAGGGTAACGCGCATACAGTTACCAGGGTAATACTTAGTGCAGATGGGTACGCATATTTACTGGTAAAACTAAATGTGGCAGTAAGTGATTGTTACAGCATACTTTACCGGGTAAACTTAGTGCAGGAGGGTTACAGCATACTTTACCGGGTAAACTTAGTGCAGGAGGGTTACAGCATACTTTACCGGGTAAACTTAGTGCAGGAGGGTTGCAGCATACTTTACCGGGTAAACTTAGTGCAGGAGTGTTACAGCATACTTTACCGGGTAAACCTAGTGCAGGAGGGTTGCAGCATACTTTACGGGTAAACTAGTGCAGGAGGGTTACAGCATACTTTACTCGGGTATAACTTAGTGCAGGAGGGTTGCAGCATACTTTTACGGGTAAACCTGTGCAGGAAGGTTGCAGCATACTTTATCGGGTATACCTAGTGCAGGAGGGTTGCAGCATACTTTATCGGGTATACCTAGTGCAGGAGGGTTGCAGCATACTTTATCGGGTAAACTATGCATGCACACTTTTGCCCGGATAACCTGTGCAGGAGGCTGCAGCATACTATTACGGGTAAACCTGGTGCAGGAGGGTTGCAGCATACTTTACGGGTAAACCTGGTGCAGGAAGGTTGCAGCATACTTACGGGTATACCTAGTGCAGGAGGGTTGCAGCATACTTTATCGGGTATACCTAGTGCAGGAGGGTTGCAGCATACTTTATCGGGTATACCTAGTGCAGGAGGGTTGCAGCATACTTTACGGGTAAACCAGTGCAGGAGGGTTGCAGCATACTTTACCGGGTAAACTTAGTGCAGGAGGGTTGCAGCATACTTTACCGGGTAAACCTAGTGCAGGAGGGTTGCAGCATACTTTATCGGGTATACCTAGTGCAGGAGGGTTGCAGCATACTTTATCGGGTATACCTAGTGCAGGAGGGTTGCAGCATACTTTATCGGGTATACCTAGTGCAGGAGGGTTGCAGCAGTGCAGCATACTTTACCGGGTAAACTTAGTGCAGGAGGGTTGCAGCATACTTTACCGGGTAAACCCAGTGCAGGAGGGTTGCAGCATGTTGCAGCATACTTTACCGGGTAAACCTGGTGCAGGAGGGTTGCAGCATACTTTACCGGGTAAACCTGGTGCAGGAGGGTTGCAGCATACTTTACCGGGTAAACTTAGTGCAGGAGGGTTGCAGCATACTTTACCGGGTAAACCCAGTGCAGGAGGGTTGCAGCATACTTTACCGGGTAAACCTGGTGCAGGAGGGTTGCAGCATACTTTACCGGGTAAACCTGGTGCAGGAGGGTTGCAGCATGTTGCAGCATACCTTACCGGGTAAACCTGGTGCAGGAGGGTTGCAGCATACTTTACCGGGTAAACCAGGTGTAGGTGGTTAAGGAATGCAACTTACGCTTAAACCGAGATGAGCCTAGTGAAGAACTGTGCAAGGGCAGCTTTACGGAGTAAGCCTGTGTAGGAGTTAATAGCTTTACTCCAATACCTTTCTTGCAATATTAATCTAAACCTAGTCAGATTCGAATCTTATTACGGGTAACCGAGTCATGGTTGCAGCATCACTTTCGCTGGTGCACACAGTAGGGTGCACACTATTACTGGGTAACATTACTGGTCACACGAGTTGTTCACAGTACTGGTCACACAGTACGGTTAAACCGTACTGGTCACACAGTATGGTTACAGCATACTGGTCACACAACTGGTCGCACAGGTGGGTCCAGCAACTGGTCACAGTACTGGTCAGAATGCAGATACTGGTTACACAGTAACTTGGTCCAGGTACTGGGTCACAGTACAGGTCAAACGTGACTGGTCACAACAGTTACTGGTCACAACTGGTGCACAGGTAGCAGTCAACACGTAACCTGGTCGCAGTATGGCACAGTACTTTCACACAGTACTTGTCAACAGTACTGGTCACACAGTAACTTAGGTCAGGAGGTATGAGTCATACTTACCGTCACACAGTAGATGGTTCACACAGTACTGGTAACAGCAATCTGCGCACACAGTTACGGTCAACTAGTGCAGGATGGTCACATACTGGTCACCGGTAACTGGTCAGAGGTACAGGTCAACTACGGGTCACACAGCGTGGTCACACACGCTTGTCACGACAGCCTGGTCACGCCAGCGTGTCACAACAGTACTGGTGCAGGACACATACTGGTCACGGAACTGGTACACAGGTATGGGTTACACATACTGGTCACACTGGTAAACTCAGATGGTTCACAGCACACTGGTACCGGTACTGGTCACAGCAGTATGAGTCAACTTACTGGTAACATTCAGTATGTTCACAGTATTTACAGTAACTGGTCACACA